TACCTCTCAGCACTTGGCCTGCTGAATTCACAAATCAAAGTTACTGAGTAATGAATGGGAGGACCTTTCTGCTTTCTAGAAAAACAGTCTCAGCTGTCAGACTGTTAGTTTTTCCATGTTAGAGAGCCCCTTCCTTGAAGGGGACCTAGAGAGAGAAGGTCAAAATTTGTGCTAGCTTTATGCATGGGTTCTTTTGAAAACCTGAGCTCAGCAGTTTCTGGAGGAAACAGACCAAAGCACACTCTTCAAGACTTGGTCAGAGGACAATTTCATCTTGTGGAATAATCTACTGCTTCTTGTCTGTTCTTGGGGACCACTGCAGAGACAGCTTTGCAGGTAAGGGCAAAATTCACAAAGAAGCAGTATGTTAAGAACTTCGTATCCTTTAGCATCTATACTGAAGCAGAATGAAACAAAATACTTCAGCAAATGAGAATTTCTGAGTTCATTTGTACTGAGAATGGTACCAGAGAAAAAGGAAGCTCTTTTATTTGAAAAAATAAAAACATTTGGCACCTACTGTTTTACAGGACAGTATGCTAGATATGTCAGAAATTCTTGACTGGATAAAGGCAATTCTTTATTTTTTTCTGAATTAAGAAATAAAGATAGAGGAGATTGTGGGGTGGCTGGTGGTAGGTAGGTAAGAGAACATGTAAAAGTCTCTGGAAAGGAGCATGTATATTCAGCTGACATTTGTGTAGCATTTAATGTGTAGGTGAACTATGCAAACATTACTGCATTGAATCCTTTTGTAACATTCTAAGGCAGGCAGAGTTTTTTCATTGGGTAAATAAAGACTAGAGGAATAGTGTGTCCTGTTGAAATTCATAAAGGAAATAGGTTCTAGCACAGAGACTGAGATTAATTTTCCATTTAAAGCCATGTTAAAAGAAATGTAATTCCTAATACCATAACTCTAATGCTGATGTGGTATTTTTCTTTTCCATTTGCTTTATATATGTAGTATTTATAAGAGTGTACACAATATGACTTTACCTACCTAATTAACATTTAAGAACTGCTTTATGTTTGATCTTTGTCATGTTGCATTATAATATTCTCCCATATATTGTCATTACATACCTAGTTTTCATGTTACTAGCTTTTAACATAGTACTAGAATTATATTTCATATTTACATAAATTGTCTGTACAGAGACAGAGAGACTGAGATAGTGCCCAGTGCATCCCTGTAAGCTAATATTGCTGTAAACTTTTACCTAGGGGATTTTTTCTGACATTGTTTTTTTTGGGGGGATAAATTCCAAGTACTGGAACATCAGAGGTTTCAATGTACTTTGCCCTTTGCCAATGATGGCAACAAAAAAAAAAACTATCAGCTCTCTTAGAGTCTCCTCAGTTTCTTGCTAACTACATGTATTGTTGTTGTTGTTGCTGTTGTATGCTTTCACATCAATTTCAACTCATGGCAACCCCAAGTGACAGAGCTGAACTAACCTATAGGGTTTTCTAAGCTACATTCTTTACATAGAAGCAGATTGCCAGGTCATTCTCCTTCAGAGTGACTGGATGGATTTGAACCACCAAGTTTTCATTAGCAGCTGAGTGCTTAACCACTGCACAACCAAGTTTCCTGCAACTGTAAATATTGAGCATCCCATTTCTATTTTCACTGTGCAGGTGTGCATGTGAAGAAGGTTCCCTAAATGATACAGTTTTCTAGCAAGACATTAATATAGCTCCAGTCACCTGACATTCAACTGTTTTGCTCTAGTGTTCATGTAATCTTTTTTTGAGATACCTCCAACTGGAATGTCAGTTTAGTCTTCAGAAATGTTATGCTTTCCCTGTCTTAATGTATTCAGAGATAGAGCCATGGTACCTCTATCCTTTTCTAGGACTTTTTCAAAACAGTATCTGATACAACCACCATTTGTCGGTCTGTTTGTCATTCTATGGTGGCTTGTGAGTTGCTGTGATGCTGGAAGCTATGCCACTGGTATCTTAAATACCAGCCTGGTCACCCATGGTATACAGTAGAGCTTCCAGAGTACAGCACACTAGGAAGAAGACACATGGACCACTTCTGAATGGTTAGCCACTGAAAACCTTAAGAACAGTAGTGGAATATTGCCAGTTATCTTGCTGGAAGATGAGCTCCTCAGGTTGAAAGCCACTCAAAATATAACTGGAGAAGAGCTGCCTCCTCAAAGTAGAATTGGCCATAATGATGTGAATGGAACAAAGTTTTCAGGATCTTCATTTGTGGCAGGGGCACTACTCAAAATGGGAAGAAACAGCTGCAAAGATCTACTAATAGAACACTGAATATACAAAGTATAAAATGAAGAAAATTGAAAGTCAGCAAAAGTGAAATGGAATGCATAAATATTAATATTCTCAGCATTTGTGAGCAGAAATGGACTAGAATTGGTCATTTTGAATCTGGCAGTCATATGATTTACTATGCCAGGAACAACAAATTCAAGATGAATGGTGTGGCATGCATCATTAAAAAAAAAAAAAAAAAAAATCCAAGAACTATCTTGAAGCACAATATTATTTGTGATAGAATAATATCCATATGCATTCAAGGAAGACCAGTTAATACCATTATCATTGAAATGAACATAATGACCACTAAAGTCAGTGATGAGGAAACAAGAATTCTATCAACTTCTTCCGTCTGAAATAAATCAAACATGCAACCAATATGCATCGATAATTGTTAATCATTGGAATGTGAAAGTTGGGAATAAGTAATGCTGCAGATCACATGATGGAATTTTGAAGACCAATGACTTATTCATTTCAAATACCTTTTTAAAATAACATAAAAGGCAGACCTCACCAGATAGAATACACAGAATCACTATGATTACATTTATGGGAAGAGACAATGGGGATACTCAATAACATGAACCAAAATGAGGCCACGGGCTGACTCTGAATGTGCCGATTACTCAAATGCAAGTTCTGGCTGAAGAAAAAACAATTCCACGACAGTCAAATATGACCTTCAGTAAATCCCACTTGAATTTAGAGAAAATATAAAGCACAGATTTGATTGGGCACCAATGACTGAAGACCTGAAGACTTGTGGAATGACATCAAGAACATCATACATGAAGAAAGCAAAAGGTCATTACCAAGTCAGGAAAAAAAGAAAAGACCAAAATGGATGTCAGAAGAGACTCTAAAACTTGCTCTTAACCATAGAGAAGGTAAAACAACTGGAAGAAATGAGGACACAATAAAACTGAACAGAAAATTTCAAAGGGCAGCTCAAGAAGACAAAGTATTATAATGAAATGTGCAAAGACCTGGAGTTAAAGAACCAAAAGGGAAGAACATACTCAGCATTTTTCCAAGCTGAAAAAAAATGGAAGAAAAAAAAAAAATCCAGCCTGGGTTGCAATGCAACAAATCCCCTGGACAAAATATTGAATGATGCTAATAACAAAAGAAGATGGAAGTAATACACAGTCTCTGTATCAAAAAGAATTGGTCAATGGTCAGTCATTTCAAGATGTAGCATATGATCAAGAACCTATAGCACTGAAGGAAGAAGTCCAAGCAGCACTGAAGGCATTTGCAAAAAATAAGGGTCTTGGAATTGACAAAATAAAAATTGAAATATTTCAACAAACTGATGCAGCACTAGACGCACTTACTCACCTATGTCAAGATATTTGGAAGATAGCTACCTGGCCAACTAATTGAAAGAAATCTGTATTTGTGCCCATTCCAAATAAAAGTGATCTGATGAATGTGAAAATCATCCAACAATATCTTTAATATCACATGCAAGTAAAGTTTGCTGAAGATCATTCAAAATCAGTTGCAGCAGTACATCAATAGGGAGCTGCCAGAAATTCAAGCTGGATTCAGAAGAGAGCATGGAAAAAGGGATATCATTACTGGCATCAGATGGATGTTGACTGAAAGGAGAGACTACCATTATGATGTTTACTTATGCTTTATTGGATATGAAAAAGTACTCAACACTGTGGGTCATAATAAACTATGGATAGCATTGTGAATAATGGGTATCCCAGAACACTTAATTGTCTTCATGGAGAGCCAGTGCATTGATGAAGAGGCAGTCATTTGAACAGAACAAGGGGATACTGGATGGTTTTAAATCAGGAAAGGTGTGCATAAAGGTTGTATCCTTTCACCATGTTTATTCAATCTGTACACTGAGCAAATAATCTGAGAAGCTGGATTATATGAAAAACCACTGGAGGAAGGGTCATTCACAACCTCTTTAATGTGTTCAAGAGCAAAGATGTCAGTTTGTACCTCTGACCCAAATCATGGTATAAGGAAGACCACAGGAGAATTGATGCATTTGAATGATGATGTAGAAGAATTTTGAAAGTACCATGGACTATCAGAATAACAAACAAATCTGTTGGAGGAAGTGCAGTCAGAATGATCTTTAGAAGCAAGGATGGTGAGACTTTGTCTCTCATACTTTGGACGTATTATCAGGAGAGACCAGTTCCTGGAGAAGGACATTATGCTTGTTAAAATGGATGGTTGGCATAAAAATAGAAAGACTCCCAACAAGACAGACTGACACAGTAGCTACAACAATGGGCTCAAACATAACAACAATTGTGAGGAGGGCCCAGGGTCAGGCAGTGGTGCCATCTGTTGTTCATAGGGTCTCTATGAGTTGGAACTAACTTCATGACACCTAACAACTACAACACCTGGTAGAGAATTCCATGCCCAACACAGAGCTATCACATAAACGTGCTGCTGTTGTAGTCCAATAAATAAATATATTTTTAAAGTAAAAAGAATGAGTTTGTGTTCAAAATCTTTTAAGAAAGAGATACCTGTGCTTTCTACCAATTTTATTGTTTCTTAGAATTGGTGATGAGTTTAATAAATGAGAGAAATTAAATGACAGGTATGAAGGCAAGGCCATTAGCTACAACTGTGTGTTGTGTTTCTATGTCTTCTAGTTCTTCTCATTCCTTAATGTTTCTTGGCCCCATCCCTAGGTTAAGGTATCTGCTGACATGCTCCACTTGCAGGGCCCACAGATGCTACAGATGCTAGAGAAATCCTTGAGGAAGAGTCTCCCTGAGTCCTTAAAGGTAAGAGTGAAAAATTATTTGGTCAACAAGGAATTGCAACCTCCTGTGGAAGAGGAGAAAAAGAGAAAGCATGCTCACTGAGCATCTATGAAGTACCAGCTTCCACTCATGATCCATTTCATTTAGTTCCCATCATCTCTCTGCAAGGAAGTTACATATCTCCATAGCCCAGAAGACAAAAGTGAGGCTCAGCTACTTACCAAGATCATACATAGTGAGTGGTAATGTTACTACTTGAAACTACTTATGCTCTTTGCTCTCAATAATTCTGTCTACTCAAAACATTTGCTTGTACTTTTCCAAGATTTTTTTCATTTTAACAGTGGAAAATTTCCCAGAATTGCAAGGTTGACTAAAACTTGCATGCTAATATTTAATTTTGTTCTTCCTAAAAGTCATGTGCTTGATGAGAGATCAACCAATATTGTTCTTTTAAACTGTTAACAGGCCAAACCTTATTTTGTCAAACCCTACAGGATTATGTGTACTTTGAGGTGAGATGGAAACTTTGGAAATGGATTAATGATCTTTGGTCATAGATTAGTTGCAACATTAATACAGGTTACAAAACACCTGGAATATTACCAAGGGTGAAGAATGCAATTGTTTTATAATAAAGTTATCACTTAAACAAGAAGACATTTAAAAATGCTGCAAGTGCATTACTTAGCAACAGAGCTTAAAAATACATTAGGCAAAAATTAATAAAACTGAAAGAAGAAATAGGCAAACCCACAAGTATAATTAAAGACTTCAATTTTCTCTCAGTAATTAATAGAACAAGTAGACAAAAATTTAACCAAACAATCAGCCAACTTGGCCTACTTGCCTCTTTCAGAAAAGTCTCCCTAAAGTGAAATAATACACATTTTTCTCAAGTTGACATGGAACATTTATAAAGATGTCTTTAAGTGCTGTCAAGTCAGTTTCGACTCATAGCAACCCTGTATAGGGTTTCTGAGGAGCAGCTGGTAGGTTTGAACCACTGACCTTGTGGTTTGCAGCCTAGTGCTGATCCTGCAACACAACACTAGGAGCCCATATTTAATCATTTATATATTCTGAGTGTTTTTGTGTACATCCCCCCCCGCCCCCAATTAAAAACAGAGGGAATGGAATCAAATACTGTTGAATGATGATGTATACGGAGGAGGCTGTAATCATTGCAATGAAATGATGAGTTTAAAACCGATGTTCTTCCATGTAAACTATCACTCAATTCACAATAAATAATATCAAATGTATTCTTGAACAATAATGGCAATAAACTTAAAACAAAAAATTAGAAGTTATGTGGAAAGTTCTCAGATATTTAGCAACTATAGAACAAACTTCTAAATAACTCATACTTCAGAGTAACAAGAAAAATTAAGAAATATTTGAATT